TATTCTCCTGTTTTATAGCTGTATATACAAATACTCAGCTCTGTAAACAAGATTTCTCAACACTGGAGAGCTCATTACTGTGAAAATTCCACCAAAAGTAGCCAGAGTTGTAAATATTATCAGTATTTTCGTCTTTTCAAAGCTTTCTAATTGTGTTCTCGGTAATTGTACTTGGCCTTAAACATAGTAATACTCCGTTTACCTGAATTTAGACTCTTTCTCTCACGTTCCTAATCTTTGCCGGGATCATCATTGTGAATTTCAAAAGTTTTAGCACAATTTGACACGCCCCATATGCTCTGTTCTTGCCTTTCTCACATTTTCTTCTTCTGGTCCTTCTACCCACAGGCCACACTGGGGAGAGTGGTGGCTCTGGCCTCTTTGCCCTCTGCACCCTGGATGGTGAGTTCCCCAGATCAGCTATGGGCCAGTTGTGTGTCTGGGGTATCTGCTCAGGGATCCTGCCTGACCCATCCACCTGCCTCTCCTCCTGCAGGGACACTGAAGCTTATGGAGGAAGCAGACAAGCTGTTGTGGTCAGTGCAGGTGGACCACCAGCTTTTCGCCCTAGAGAAATTGGATGTTACGGTGGGTGGAACACCTGGTGGAGAGGAACATTCTTACCTTCTTCACATGGAGAGATAAGATTTCAGTGAGGCCATTCTCACTTCACAGTTAACTCTCAACCTTTTTAAAAAATATATATTATTTTTTTATTTCAGAAATCAGAGAGGAAGGGATAGGGAGAGAGAGAGGGAAACTTCAATAATGACAGAGAATCATTGATCAGCTGACTCCTGTATGCCCTCTAACTGGGGATCAAGCCCACAGCCCGGGCATGTGCCCTGACTGTGAATCGAACCATGACCTCCTGGTTCATGGGTCGATGCTCAGCCACTGAGCAACACCAGCCAAGCCCAACCTTTATCTTAAGACCCTCTTTAGACAGCTCCTACTCCCTTTGAAGTGAGTCATTCCCCTATTCCACATGCATAGCACTTTTCTCTGTGCTCTAGGGAATCTCTCTTTTCAGTTCCTTTCGGCAGCAGTAATCACTCCAAAGAGAAACAGATAATTACTTGGATCCAGAAGTTAGTCATCAGTCCCAACTGCAGATGTATGTTTTTTCTTGTCCTGTGTGAGTCTGTCTTTACTAAGGCTATGGCTCCTGAATACTCAACGGGGGCTGTTCTTTGTGCTGACGTCATGCAGGCTCAATGGTGTAGGAGAAAAGGCCTGAGGCTTTGAGGTCAGGTAGAACAGGCCTGGGTTGGAGGCCTGATTCCACCACTTCCCAGCTGAGTGGCCTTGAGTGTGTGACTTTATTTCTATAAGCTGAAGTTCCTTCAGTATCAAACTGGGAGTAATGTTGCCCACTTCACAGGGTTGTGAGCAATTATGTGAGGTGGCTCATTTGACAGCCTCTTTGGTGCCTGGCACATGGGAGAAATTCAGTAAGAAACATATGGTTGTCTTCTTTCCCAGCTGGTGGTTTGTCATCAGAGCCAAGTCCACAGCTCCTTATTCAGTATTCTATCCAGCCCTGTCATTAGATCTCTTTCTAAAATGGCTCCTGGCCACCCCTTGCAATTTTGTCTCTGACCTTTTTCAGGGCAACGGGCACGAGGAGGTGGTTGCCTGTGCCTGGGACGGGCAGACGTATATCATTGATCACAACCGCACAGTCGTCCGCTTCCAAGTGGATGAGAATGTCCGAGCTTTCTGTGCAGGTGGGCCCCTGCCCCACACCCCTCTAACACACTGTCTGCCTCTTATTTCCATTCTCAGTGTGTCCCCTAATGTGAATCTTCATAAACAAATGAGTTCCTTAGCTCTTTCATTGGAGGGTGATAGGTGAGTACTCAATTGCCATCTTTTTTAAAAAATATATATTTTTATTGATTTCAGAGAAGAAGGGAGAGGGAGAGAGATGGAAACATCAATGATGAGAGAGAATCATTGATCAGCTGCCTCTTGCACGCCCCCTACTGGATATCGAGCTCACAACCTGGGCATGTGGCCCCCAGGAATTGAACCATGACCTCCTGGTTTCATAGGTTGACACTCAACCACTGAGCCATGCCAGCCAGGCTCAATTGCATTTTTAAATAAGAAAAAAATAATAGTGAGATCTCTATTTCTGAATATTTTAAAGAATGTATGATTTCATTTTTTTAAATATTTATTGATTTCAGAGAAGAAGGGAGAGGAAGAGAGAGAGATAGAAACATCAATGATGAGAAGGAATCATTGATTGGCTGCCTCCTGCATGTTGGACTGAGCCCGCAATCCAGGCATGTGCCCTTGACCAGAATCGAACCTGGGACCCTTCGGTCCACAGGCTGACGCTCTATCTACTGAGCCAGGGCAGAATGTATGATTTCTTATCTATCTGTATGAAGACATCAGAAAGCTCTTTCCCATTTGAATATATCAAAACTGTGAAGAACATGGTCCTAGCCCAGTGATCCAACCTTTTTCCTCTCGTGGCACTAATAAGCTAATCACTAATATCCTGCAGCACATGAAAAAATATATTTTTTGCCATTCTGACCAAAAAAAGTATAATTTTGATTCTTTCACGCTGGACAGCTGTTGTGCTGGCTGCTGTCATTTTTTATTCACAATCTAAGGGAAAAGAGAACAGTGCCCCTGACTAAATAGTCAGGTATTGCATGTTTTAAAAATTCTTGTGGTACACTGGTAGAAAATTGCTGTCCTAGGACATTCCCATTAGTTCCCAGTCGGGACCTTGGAAACCAGCATTCGGGATGACATGGACATACGTGTGGTTACCGAAGTGAGAAGAATTGAGCAGTGCACTGGCATACTTACTCCAGGGCCTTTGCACAGGAGTTGCCACCTCAGAGAAACCTTAGTTTCTGGTTACATCTTGCTGATTTCTGGTTACATCTTGCTGATTTACCCCTTAGATTAGCAAGACTAGTCAAATCAAGTAGCACATATTTGGATGCTATTCTGCCTGGGTTTTGTACGATAGTTTTTCTATACCTGGAATGGGGCCAGATCTTCTCTGTTTTACCTATTTTACTGAGTTCCCGTCAGAGAAGACTTAGAAAGAGAGCCTTTAGTTTTGTGCTTGGCATCTGTGGGAGGGTCAAAACTGCTGACTCATATTTTGTTCTTGCCTTCCCACCACTGGACTGAAACTTCTGGACCTTTGTCTCACCACCCACCTCCCAGGCCTATATGCCTGCAAAGAGGGCCGCAACAGCCCCTGCCTTGTGTATGTCACATTCAACCAGAAGATCTATGTGTACTGGGAGGTGCAGCTTGAGCGGATGGAGTCTACCAATCTTCTGAAATTGCTAGAGGCTGAGCCTGAGTACCAGGGGCTGCTGCAGGAGCTGGGCCTGGGTGAGTCCCAGCAAGCTGCAGGGTTAGAAAATCGGGGGGTCCAGGAGAGCCACAGCCTCTTACCAGACCCTTTCTTGCCCTCAGATCCTGATGACCTCCCAGCAGCCCGCACCCTAGTTCACCAAACCCTCTACCATCCTGACCAGCCACCACAGTGTGCTCCTGCAAGCCTCCAGGATCCCACCTAGCGGGGCTTTCCCTCTTAGCTGAATAAGGATCCTCTGAACCTCTCTCCCCTCAAGGTGTCCATGGTATTGGCAGGAGAGGGAATGTATACTGCAGAGGAGTATGGACAGATGGCAGCAACCCGAGGGTAACTGTGAACTATAGATCTCATGGTCTTCTCGGTGAAAGCAGAGACAACTTGACTGTCTGCCCATTTTCTTGTGTACCTCACCCATCACATCAGCAGGGTTGTAAGACCCTGACCTTATTCCACATCATCTGGGACTGCCCCTTCCCCAAAACTCCCCAGTCTCGTATGGAAAACAGACTTGTTTGTGAGGAAGGAGCACCAATCTTTTGTGTGGCACGGACACTTGTGAGGAAACTAGGCTTCGGGGCCAGTGGAGCTGTGAGGTAAGGCCTCTGCCCCATCTGAAGCTCCATCTTCATGTCACAGTTCCAGGTCCCTGACAGTGGCGGTTATTGCAAGAATGGCAAACTGTCGGCCTTTCAGGGCATTTCACAGTCTGGTTTTTCTGTGTCCCCAGCAATCCTGAGATGATTTTGCTCTATTTTCCAAAGAACCTGGGCCAGCAGCCTCTCGTTTTGCCATGCTCTTCAAGAATCACACAGCTTCCTAGGCCTCGCTCCATTTCCCACCCCCCATTTTCACAGAAACACCTATTGTCCATCAGACAATAGACATTTACAACCTGATGCAGATGTATGATCCAGACCATAATCAGAATTCTATCTTGGGCCATTTCTATCCCTTCTGCTCTTATTCTGTGTGCTTTAAATCAGTATCTTTCAAATTGTAGGTTGCAATCTTTTAGTGGGATGTGGTCAGCATTTTTTAAATAAATGAAATAGGATACAATAGAATGAAAAAATAAAGTATATTGCTCACAGCATATGAAAACATTGTTTTGTTATAATTGTATGTGTATATTGAGTGTAATATAAACTGTATTTCCTGCTTTAAATTATGTTCAAGGGAGTTTGAAAGCTATTGCTCTCAATTTTATTGACCCCAGCCTGAGGGGTCATGCTGGGGAAGGGTCCACATTCATATTTCCTTTTGTAAGGGAATAAGGGCAGAGTTATCATTCAGCTCTGGTGGGCATGGAAGAAGAACAAAGGAGGACATCACCATAGAGAAACAGGTGTTTATTCAAATGGAGAGGCAGCTGAGCTGAGGGCCAGCCATAGGGCCTGGGGTCTGCAGTCTGTCTACAATTACAGAAGCAGCAGGAGGCAGAAGTGAAAGGAGCAGGGTGAGACCAGGAAAGCGGAGGCCATGGAGCCAGGCAGTGAGGGACCAGGGTCCTATCACACTGTGATAGTGAGCCCCTCTCCTCGCCCTGTGAGGGCAGGGGACTTAGCCGAGAAAGGTAAGGCCAGGTGTCACAGGGAAGTTCCTTGCATCCTGGTTCTTCTCTAACCTGCCCCATGCTCAAGATTTTGTTTCCAGCCTAAGGCCCCAGTTCCCTAGGTCAGGCTAGTTACACCACTCTTCCTCTACCACTCACCCATGATTTCAGAGGCTCAAACCAGCCAGAAAGACACTCAGGGGTCTAGCTTCTTAAGGTTTGGATTCTTCTTTTTTGAGCCTCCTTGTCCCTTTGCTTTGGCTTAGAGCCCGCCAGGGGATAGAAAGCCACTGATTCCAAAACAAGACAAGGTCTAGCTCAGAAAGCCCAAGATGAGGGGTAGGAAGAAGGTCTAATGAGGTGGATAGTTCTAGAAAAAAGAAGGACTACTGGTCAGGTGAAGGCTGAGTACTGACAACCCCTCCATCCCGGTCACCTTTGGGGACAGCTCTCTGCAGGGCTCTTGCACACACCCTCGGAAGTTCAGGGACCCAGTGGGTGAAAAGCAAGTGGAGAAGGACAAATATCTGGAGGAAATAGTAGAGGTATAGCCAAGGTTTTGCACAGGGTAATCAAATGATAACTTGCTTCAGATGTTTGCAAGCTCAGAAAAGGTAACTAACAGAGCTACCAGCCTTGTGAGCTGCCATTCCTCTACAAAGCCACATTCCTAGGGTGTTGAATCATCCTGTTCAGTGTCTCCCCCACCCCCACTCAGCTGTGAGCAGGCGTGTGCAGAATCAGAACAGTAAGCACCAGCCGGACTGGAGAGCTGGTTGGTGAGGTGGGGCATCTGATCCTGAAAGAAAATGAGTCCAGAAAAGTTGAGGTGAGAGATGTGGGAGTGAAGGGAGTTGAGGAGGTTTGGGGTGGCAGGGGACAGGTGGAGGCCAGTTTCTACCATGCCAGGGCCTAGTCCGTAACCCCATTTTCCTTGTATAATCTTTTAAAAAGGTATTTTAAAATTGATTTTTAGAGAGAGAGGAAGGGAAAGCGAGAAACATGGATGTGAGAGGGAGACGGAGACATCTTCTGCATGTCCCTCCCCGGGTACCGAGCCCACAACCTGAGCATATGCCCTGACTAGCAATCAAACTGGCAACCTCTCTGTGCATAGGATGACACCCAACCAACTGAGCCACACTGGCCAGGATGCTGTGTCGTTTTCTGCAGACCTGGTTTGGCTTTGCTCTTCTCTGGAGGGGAATGAGAGAGAACAGGGAAACCAGAGCTCTGAGATCCTGGGCCTTCTCTGGGAAAACTCCTAGGGGATAGGGAAGTTGCCAAGAAGCAGAGAAGATGTGGCCGACGGAAATGGAACAGCAGGATCAGGGTGGTGACAGAAGGCACAGACAAAGCGATCCCCAGCTACCTGGCTGTAGTAATGTCCCTATACCCCGAATGGCTCTTCCCTAAGTCACAGGACTGCCCCCTGGGGACTGATGGGGCCGGCAGTCACTGGCCAGGCTCTGGGTACAAAGGCAGGAAGGGCAGCTCTGGGAAGGGGGCTTTTAGCCGCAGCACTCGGTGTTCCAGGTCGATACAGCACTGTGGGGTGTGGAGGAGGAAACGTGAGGTTACCTCTGCAGGTAACCTGTCTCCCAGCCCCTCTTACTTGTCTCCCCCACCCCACCTCACCCCCGCTTCCCCATTTCCATTCACCTGGACCCCTGTCAGGGAGGGACCCAGTGCTCCACATTTTTCACTTGTGGGCAGATCAAGAACCTCTAGGAAGCAAAGCTGCAGTCCCACATCATGTCTTCACTAGAACCTGACCCAGGCTTCCACACCTGTGCTTCCTGCCTCTCTTTCCCAGCCCTAGGTCAGGCCCCGAAGTGCTAGTGTCCTCCTTACCTTGAGAGAAAGCAGAGTCTGCAGTCCGAGACAGAACTCAGGACTCTCCACATCTGTAGGAACCACATGAAAACAAGACTCTGGAGGGTACCCGGTGGTCACTGCTGCCCTCATGTCAGTGCGTGCCCCTTCTCGCCCAGTCCACCCCCAGGTCTGAGAATCTTGGCACAGATATTGGGGATAGAGCACCTTTGGGGACGCCTTGTCTGGTGCTGACAAGGCTGAAACTCCGCCTTTGCCACCAGGAGAGAAGGTAGAAGAGATGAGAAGAGGGGCTATTGATGAAGGGAGGACTTACCCACCACCTGGGCTGAGCATGCCACAGTCTCCTGCCCTAGCTGTAGCTCCAGCTGCTCCACCTGGGGTAGGAGTCCAGGCGCCGGGTCCCTGTTCCCTAACCTGTGGTGGGGAAGCAAGGGTTATTGCCACTACAGCCCTAACTCCTATTCCTTTAGTCAGCTAACATCCTCCCACCACTACCACCACCACCACCACACTGGGTTTTCACCCAATCCCTGGCCCCACGTAGGGTCTAAAGCCTTATTTTCTCTGTCAGAGCCCCATCAATTAGATATAGTTCATATACCATAGGAGTCATCACCCTTTTAAAGTGTACAATTATGTGGGGTTTTGTGTTACAGATACATTCACTACTATCTAATTTCACAATATCATCACTCCCAAAAGAAGCCCCATTCCCCATCCACTATTTTGGGCCATACTCTTACCCCAGGCGGGTGAGGCATCCAGTGGAGATCTGGTTGTAGTGGGTGCCTGTGTCCACGGCCACCCTAAGAACCTGGTCCTGACACTGAGAAAGAGGGTTGTGGGGGATTCAGTGAGTCTCAGGAGAATGGACAGGGAACTGCACCTTCCCAGCCTTTCAGAAATGAACGAACGGAATGAACTGTGTCTTTAAAAGTGGTTTTTATAGTACTTGTACAACTGAGAAAAAACTGGCTCAGATAAAAAAAAAAAATCAAAAAAGGAAGTGAGCTGCATGGGATGGTGAGTCCATCTGTTTGGCAACAATTTGACCAGAAATGAATATCTGTTTGTCTAGAGCAGGGGTGGGGAACCTCTCTTCTGCCAAGGGCCATTTGGATATTTATAACATCACTCACAGGCCATACAAAATTATCAACTTAAAAATTAGCCTGCTATATTTGGTCAAACATTTTAACAACCCCTAATGCCTTTGCAGGGCCAGACCAAGTGATTTCGCAGGCCTTATATGGCCCACGGGCCAGACTATCCCCACCCCTGGTCTAGAAGAATTCTTGGGAGGCTTAGGGCCACCAGGTTAGAGAAATCTAGTTGGAGTAGGGGAGGGATGAGGAGACTGGGATACCTTGCTGGGAAATTCAAGTGTGAGTAAGAGAGACGTTCACCATGGGAAGCAAAGGAAGACACGTTAATTTTGGGGGGGGGCATATACAGACATTTTGGGTTACGCTGCATATCACAAACACATGGTTTTCTTATTCCAAATGTTTTTCTTAAATCCTCATCTGAAGATACTTTTTCCATTGATTTTTTTAGAGAGAATGTGAGAGAGACACATCGATTGGTTGTCTCCTACACACACCTCAACTGGGGCTGAGGATTGAGCCTGCAATCAAGGGATGTGCCCTTAATCAGTAATCAAACCCATGATTCTTCAGTCTGAGGACAAGCTGATGCTCTAATTAGTGAGCCAAACCAGCCAGGCTCATTCCAAACATTTACTGAGCATCTACTATGTATAGATGTTGCTGGAAGGCACAGCAATGAATACTATTTTTTCAGAGCCTAAGGGAAGTGAAATGTAACTGCTGTATGGTAGACTCGGTTCTAGAACTTAATTCATTTGGGAAAGCTTTTCCAGAAGTGAATTGTTCAAAGACCAAATCATTTTTCCCATTATAAATAATGTAAATTTTGTTGTTAATCTTCACCCAAGGATACTTTTTCCATTGATTTTTTTAGAGAGAATGTGAGAGAGACACATCGATTGGTTGTCTCCTACACACACCTCAACTGGGGCTGAGGATTGAGCCTGCAATCAAGGGATGTGCCCTTAATCAGTAATCAAACCCATGATTCTTCAGTCTGAGGACAAGCTGATGCTCTAATTAGTGAGCCAAACCAGCCAGGCTCATTCCAAACATTTACTGAGCATCTACTATGTATAGATGTTGCTGGAAGGCACAGCAATGAATACTATTTTTTCAGAGCCTAAGGGAAGTGAAATGTAACTGCTGTATGGTAGAGTCTTAAGACCTATGAAAGGATTGTCAGTAAAGTGCCCTACAAGGAAAGGCTATTTCCTACTGGGGAAATCAAAAGGTTTCAAGGAGGAGGTAACATTTGAGGTTTAAGAGATTGTGAAATGTGACATAAAATGATTGTAAAGCGGGCAGAGGAAATGCTGAGCGAAGACAGTGGCCTAAGAGCAATGGGTGTTTATTAGGAAGGTTCAGTATTGGCAGGTGGTTAAATGGCTTCAGAGATGGCAAGGCCATCACATGAGCTTTTCCAGGAGGGTTACATTATCCATCCATGCACCATCCATTATGTAGAGCACACTGAAGATCATTTACATATTCACATTTAAAGATTATACTTTGATAAAGGAAAGGGAGTCATGGTGGTGACAGCTGGAATTGCACAGAAGGAAGATGGTTTGAGGCAAAGAGTAAAGAAGATAGAGGATCCCATTTTTTGGTCCAGGCTTAGGAGAGAGGTTCCTTTTCTCCCGCCCTCCTTCCCTCACTACCCAGGGCAGAAAGGAGAGTGGGTGAAGTAAGCCAGTCCCAGGCAGGATTGTTAAGGAAAGCCAGTGCCCTGGGACGCCTCTCACCTTGCAGTTGACCAGAAGAGCTGGAATCTCTGGTGTGTTAGTCTTTCTCCTGTTCTCCTGGCCATGCATCAGGGCCTGCACCAGGGGAGACTCCCCCTGACCCCGACTCTGGTTTCCTTCTAACAGGCGTCTTTGGATCACGCTGTGCGGCTGCTAGCTCCATCACAGAACAATAAAGGAAGATAGGTCTGAAGCCAAGTATCCAGGCTGCTCGGTTCCCCACCTTAGATATCCCAGGACATTGTCTCTAATCCCACCCAGTCCTGAGTCTCACAGGAGTAAGAAAGGGGCAGAAGCTTATTCAAGACTCCCAGCAGTTAGATAATTATAGCAGAGTGAACCCAGTATCAAATCATGCCATTTCCAGGGACCCCAGTAATTGCTCAGCGATGAAGAAATGGGAAGGGAATAGCCCATCTGGGTTTGACTGATTAATATTGGCTGATGGTACATTTCAGGAGCTAGTATTATGCTTAGGGGAAATTCTGTCTCAACAGGTTTTTTGTTTGTTCGACATTTCCCCCTCTTTGTTGACCTTATCCTTGAATGGGTTGCAGGTCCCAGAGTTGATGGTGTGATTAATAGGAATCAAAGTAACAAAAAAAAAAAAATGGAGAAAGTTAAAATCTTCAAAATTAGGATGCTGGGAGTCATCCTTGGACTCCCCTTCACCTGCAACCCCCTATCCCCAACCCTGACCAATCTCTTTCTAAATTCTACCAGTTTTGCCTCCTGTGTTTGTAGGCCATCCTGCTCTCTGTTACTGCCTTTATTCCAGACTCACCCCAGCTCTCCTGCTTCACTGGGATGCCTCTTTGCCTTCATAAGAACCTGCCTCCAGTACTGCTCAAAGCCAATGATTATCTAAAACCCTTGCTACTCAAAGTGTGGTCCTCATATCAGCAGCTTTAACATCACTTGGAAGAAATGCAGAAAAGCTACTGAATCAGAAACTTCAATTCTAACAAGATGCCCCAATAATTGGTGTGCTCATTACAGTTTGAGAAGCGCCCAAATGAAACAAAACTAAACATGTTACTCTTTTTAAAATTCATCAAAGCACCCCCCTCCCCATTGCTTACATGGTAGAGCTCAAACTTTCTAAGGAGATCCACAGCCCAGATGACCTGGTCACTGTCCGACTCTGCCTCATCTCACCCTTCCCACCCCACCCCACCCCACCCCACTCGGCTCATCTGCCCCAGCCACCCTGCTTATACTGCTTGCACAGGCTGTTTTCCCACCTCCGGGCTTTGGCTTCTGCTCTCCCCTGTTCCGGGGCCTGGATGACTAGCTCAACACACTTTGCTCAAGAACTAAACTATTCAGGAGAAAGGTCTGGGGTTCCATGTGCATCTGGTAATTAGTGCAGGTTTACCTTCTCCAGGGAGCTCTCTCTGACCTCTGTGCTCTTCCCTCCACACACAAGGCTGGGGTAGTCCCCTTTGTCATGCTTCTCACAGATGTTCTTTGTGAATTTCACTCACCATTAACTTGGAGAGTGCTTGAGATCAGGTCAGTATCTCATTCATTTTTCTGTTTTGCTGGGCTTAGCCCAGCATATACTTGCTGAAGAATACAGTCTCCTTCCGGGCTCCACACATGCTTCTCCACCTGCCCTCTCTCCTTGGGAGCCTGGGATTGTTTTTCCACCCATGGCCTAATGAGGCCCTTGAGGCTGCTCCCGCCAGCAAGGCTGCCAGCAGGAGACCCAACTCTGGGAAAAGGGCAGCGAGCTCTGGGACTGGCCAGAAAGAGCAGCTCTGCAGTTCCCAGCTCTCCTCCCACCTTTCCCATGGGGATGGCCCTTCTCCAGGGCCAAATCGATGGTCCCCAAAGGGTAGAGGCTGAAAGGTCCTAGCCTCTCGGAGCAAAGAACCTGCTTCACTGTCCATTGTTTCTCAACTGTGCTTGCTATGCTTGCGAAGAGGAGGTTGTCTCAATTGAAATCTTAATCGGATCAATTTTCCTTTTGGGGGGCTGCTGGGTGGGGCTAGGGGGTTGCTGGCCTCTGGGCAAGGTTCTGGAGGGGGAACATTTGGCTGGGAGGCATATGGAAAGTCGGAGCTGCCGGAATGGCCTGAGGCCCCCAGAAATGCCTTTGTGCCTCTCAGTTGCAGGAGTACCCACCCTCCTCTCAGACCCTCTGACTCGAGACGGAAGAGTGAACAGAGTGCTCCCAAACCTTTGTACAAAAGCCTTCCTTTCTTTTATGACCAAGAGACCAGATATGATGCCAGGTTCTCTGGCTCCTACGGAGCTTCCTTTCTCCCAGGCTGAGTGGAATAAACAGTAGCTGAAGGAATAATAATAATTAGCAATTACTGGTACATATTGCTTTCTCTCACTCAGGTACTGTTCTAAGACTTTTATGGGTATCAGCTCATGTTAACTCTTGCAACAACCCTATGAGGTAGGTACTATTAATTTTATCCTCATTTAATAGGTGAAGAAACTGAGGCAGAGACATAAAGTAACTTGCCCAAGTAGCAGAGCAGAATCTGAATCTAAGCAGCGTGGCTTCAAAGCCCATGCTCCTCACCACTTTCTCTGAGGGGAATGCACACAGGCAGGTCCCCTGACCACTCACCTTCCATGGTTACCCCCCGCCCCCCACCCCCCACCCCATTCCCTCTGGAGGCCAAAGCTGCTACAGGAAGATGGGAGGAAAGGAGCCTGGAGGGAGGCTCAGAGGGAGGAAGGAGGCCCTCAGGAGGCCAGGTGGCCTGGCAGGCACCATTAGAAATCCTGGTGATTTGGCAAGGATGGAGGGCTTTAATGCTTCATTCTGAGGGGGGAAAGCAAATGAGCGGCCAGAGCTGGTATGAGGGACTCTGGTTTAGGGAGAGGAAGGAAAGCATAACCCTAAACTGGCCAATCCTCCAGGCCCTCCTGCTGTAATCAACTGCTCCAGAGGCTCTGTGCCCCTAAAAACCTCTACTCCCGAACAGCAGAGCTCACTCCATGATAAGCCTTGGGTTTGGGGGGAAAGCTGAGCAATGAGAATCGGGTCCCGTGGAGCCACAAGTCATGGGAATATTCCCGATGAAGAGCTGCGAATGATCAGAGGGAGCCCCTCAAGTTGGCAGGACTGTCTGTTCCCACTCTCAGCTAGGGAGGGGAATATGAAGGCTTAGGATCCCCAGTTAAATGTCATCACTCCCACCCTCAGGATAGGGGGTGAAGAGGTAGAGAGGAAGGGCCAGAGGTCTTCTGGGGGGGGGAGGGGTCTGGGGAAGGGGAGAGGGCTTCCTCACCAAGTCCTTGGAGGTGCCCAGCCTCTTGAGGCTGTCCAGGGGCAGCAGGTCGGCGGAGTCCTTGTGCAGGAACTGGGTGGCCTGTTTGAGCCGGCGCTGCTGGCTCAGGTGGGCTCGGTCCCGAAGCTCTGCCCCCTGTCCCCTCCTGCTGGAGTCTCCCCCCTCTCTTCTGGTCTCCTGCCTGGTGCTCATGGCCACTGGGAGACTTGATGAGCTTGATGTACTTGGTGGGGGCTTCTGAGAGGTCCTCCTTCCGTCCTCTGCCTCCTGTGTCCCGGTAGCTTCCTGCCTGTTTCCGTCTGGGCTGCAGCTCTCCTGACAGGAGGGTCTGGGCGGGAGGAAGAGGAAATAAATAAATAATGTGCAGAGCAGCCGCGTCAGACACCAATTCCCAGAGAATACGGTAGAGGGAGTGAGACTGCTGGAAAAACGCAGCGCTGTAGAGGTCGCTGGGGGCCTGCCACCGGCCGGCTCTGCAGCAGCTTCAGTTCTGGGGTTCTGGCCAGGGTGGGCGGTGGAAGGGGTGTGTGTGCATGCGTGAAGGGTTGTAAAGGTGCTGTGGACTGCCCGGGTGGCCAATCCAGGTTGTTTGAAAGGCAGTGTGTGAGTGGGGGTGGCAGCCTGCATGGGTGTGTTTGGTGTGAGTGAGACATGCAGGCATGTGCATCCATGGGCCTGGGTACTAGAATGCTCTGAAGCCCTCCACCACCCCTACCCCCATCTCCTCCACCCCTGCAGCCCAGGGGTTGGGGTGCAGGCCAAGAACTAGGTTCAGAACCAGAGCGGGCAGCATCACAATGTCCTCCCTTCCTTCCCTCCCCTCAACAGGAGACCTTTCTGAGCTCAGCCTTTCAGTGTGGCCCATCAGTTTCCATTACTCTGGGGTCTGGGGTCTGGGGTCTGAGGTCTGAGGTCTGGGCTCCAGGGGTGGCAAGAGCAACTCTGAATCTTCTCACAAGTCGGCCCAGCTTCTCCCTCTGTTTTATGTAAGGCTCCTCCAGTCCTGGCTTTTTTTTTAAAAAAAAAATGTCATAATTCAAATAAGCAGAAAGTTATAAAGAAGAACTGATACACCTTACTTATGGACCTCCTTTTTAAAAAAATGCTGCAAATATAGCTGAAGTTCCACTTATACTTTTCTTCTTCCTGTACGACATCCCTCCTGAATTTGGTGTTTGCAGTTCCCACACTTGTCTTTATATTCTTTATATATATAACTGTGTATGTATCGTGAGCAATACAGCATTTAGTTCTGCCTGACCCATTGCATATATTCTTCTGCAACTTGTCTTTTTTTGCTCAATATTTTACTAGTGAGATTCATCCATGAGATACCCATTGCTCTGGTTCATTTACTTTAACAGCTGTGTAGTATTACACTATATAAATGGCATATTTAGAAAATCTGGGCTTTCTTTTTCCTTTTTTTTTTTTCAACCAATGCTGCTATGAACGTTTTTGCACATCTTTCCTGAGGACATGGATAAGCATTTCTCTAGAACATATACCTACGAGTGGAATTGCTTCCCCATTTATGCATAATGCGAAATCACCCTCCAAAATATTTATATAAGTGTTCACTTCAGTCAGCAGTGTATGGAGTGTCCTGGGGCTCCACTTCCTCACCTATAACTAGTATCAGATTTTTTATAGTGCTGGCTCATCTGTCTTCAGATTTTTCTCTCTGGCCTTTTGTCTTCACCATCATCAAAATGCTTTGGTCAAGCACCTGCTCGCATGTGGTGGACACTCAGAGCATGAGTACCCACCAGAGCCCTGCTCCCTAGGGACACGGTCTGGTCCAAACACCACCAAGGCAAGTGCACATTCAGACAAACCAGATATCCTCCGGTTTTCTATGACCCAAGCCTCTTTGAGGCACTTTCACAACCACTACAACAGTATGAGGAAGAATTGTATCATGAACCCCATTTACAGTTGAGGAAACCAGCTATGTGCTGTGGCTTGTGTCTGACCCACTTCGTTTGTTAAAGTTCTAACCTCCAGTACCCCAGAAGATGATCTTGTTTGGAGATAGGGCTTTCATAGAGGTAATCAAGTTAAAATGAGATCAGCAAGGTGGGTCCTAATCCAATATGAGTATATGTCCTTATTAAAAGGGGAAATTTGGACACAGAGGGAGACATACAGGTAGAATACCACATGAGCATGAGGGCTGAGAATGGGGTAATGCATCTACAAGCTAAGGAATGCCAAGAATTGCCCACAGAACACTAGGAGGGAGGCCCCAAACAGATCCCTCCTCACAGCCCTCAGAAGGAACCAACCCTGCCAACACCTTGATCTTGGACTTCTAGCCTCTACATCTTTGGGACAATACATTTCTCTTCTGTAAGCCACCCAGTTTGTGGTATTTTGTTATGACAGCCCCAGGAAAGGTATAAGACTTAGAAAACTTGCCCAAGACTCACTTTTAGACAGCAGAACCACAGGAATCAAACCCTTGTGCTCTGTTTCTCCCTCAGTTTCCATTATGCCAAAAGGACCTATGAACCAGGAAGTCACAGTTCTATTCCCAGTCAATTCCCATTCAGTTCGCAGGCTTAATCCCCAGTAGGGGGCGTGCAGGAAGCAGTCAATCAATGATTCTCTCTCATCATTGATGTTTCTATCTCTCTCCATCTACTTTCCTCTCTGAAATCAATACAAAATATATATATTATAATTTGATAAAAATGATAAACATGGAATGAAAATCAAACTATAGTATGATTCCATTTATCAAGTTCTGGGCCACCAGATCCTGGCTTCAATTAGACTGTTTTAGTGGAATATTTCAACTCCTTCCCATTCCTTGACATCCACCAGCACCACACATTTGCCTGGGATAAAGGTTGAAAAGGATCTACTGACATGTTGTGCTGGTTTCTGGTGGTTGATTCCCTGGGATTAACTGTATGCACTAACAAGTCAGTGAGTGACCTGAATACTGGGATGCTGGGTGGGCCCCAACACTGAACCGTGTCTCCTCCAACTTTATTCTCAGCAATTCATTCCTTAGGTTTGAAACTTCTTCAACATCTTCAAGAGTCCTTTATTAATTCAACTAGAGGCCCAGTGCACAAAATCTGTGCACTAGTGGTGTGTGTGTGGAGGGAATTCCGCAGCCTGGCCTGTGCCCTCTTACAGTCTGGGACCCCTCACTCCTTACCACCTGCCTGCTCGCTGCTCCTTACCATTCAGCTTGCTGCTTCTTAGCACTGCTGCTGCCATGGAGGTGGGAGAGGCTCCCACCACCACTGCTACACTCACCAGCCTTAAGTCTGGCTTCTGGCTGAGCGGCGCTCCCCCTGTGGGAGCACGCTGACCACCTGGGGGCAGCTCTTGCATTGAGTATCTGCCCCCGTGGTGGTCAGTGCGTGTCGTAGCAACCGGTCGTTCCGCCCTTTGGTCTATTTGCATAGTAGGATTTTATTATATAGAATTTTCAGAGGAGTAATGCTATCAATGAACAAGAGTGAGATGACTCTAGGCACTTAGCAGGGTTGTCTTGGGCAGCCTAATAACATGGACAAGATGTCTCAGGACTTAAGTGCACTTAGGTCTGTAGACTGCATTCCAGGGAAGACTAAATGTGCCTGCAGTGTAGAATGAAGACTTTGGAATGTATGATTTGGATGGGGTGAGGTTGGGGACATCAGTTCCTCTTCTCTAGCCAGTCTGATAAGGCCTCTATTGCCTGGTCCTAGGAAGCACTTGTACTCAGGAAATGCCATTCTCTGGAATGTAGCTGAGTCACCCTGTGTTCTTTGGTCCAAACTAATATTACCTCACTCACTATCTCACCATCTGGGGTAGGACTCAGGAGTAAGGAAACTCTCTTTTGCCATTTTTTGTTACTTGGTTTATTCCTTTGTAAATTTGTTTTTTACCCAAAGTTTCAGGGTGAACAGGAATGTTCTTGCAATACAAACCTCTGAGCTCTCCTTTGTCAGGGGCGAAAGAAATCTCTTTGTTAGGATGGTGGAGAGTACCAGGGAATGTTCGGTGGCCAGTTGTAACCTCAGTTGGGTTGTCTGTACCTTTACCAGTTCACCTCTGTTCCCTCCTGTCATTATTATTTTTAAAATTTTATAGTGTTGAAAGTATTATATATGTCTCCTTTTCCCCCCATTGATCTCTCCTAGCCCTCCCCTGCCCCTCAGCACAGGCCTTCACCCACCTATTGTCTGTATCCATTGGTTATGCTTATATGCATGCATACAAGTCCTTTGGTTGATCTCTTACCCCAACCCTCACTCTCTGCTGCCATCCCTCTGAGGTTTGAGGGTCTGCTCGATGTCATTTTTTTTAAATATATTTTTATTGATTTTAAAAAATCAATAAAATCAGAGAGGGAGGGAGAGATAGAAACATCAATGATGAAAAAGTATCATTGATCGTCTGCCTCTTACACACCCCCTACTGGGGATCGAGCCCACAACCCGGGCATGTGCCCTTGACTGGAATCGAACCTGAGACCCTTTAGTCTGAAGGCCAACGCTCTATCAACTAAGCCAAACTGGCTAGGGCTATTTTTTAACCATTGAACTCTAATGATGAGACAGAGAGGAAGAAAACTTCCAGGAGCACTATGAAGGAAGATTAAACCATTCTGGATTGTAAGGACTAGAAGAAACAGGTTTTCCTTTCCAAGATGCTTAGGACATAGCTATAATTTCTCTCATTTATTTCATCTTGTAGTTCACATAAAAGAGGATGGATACAAATTCAGAAATTTTATGAGCAAAAATGGAAGTGTGCTATATGGCTCCCTCAGTACATTGGTTCTCCTCTGAATTATAACAAGTTTTCCTTGCAAAATGAATTCAATAAAAAAATAGTTAGTGAGCCTTAGCCAATTTGGCTCAGTGGATAAAGCATCAGCCCATAGACTGAAAGGTCGCAGATTTGATTCCCGTCAAGGACACATACCTCCATTGCAGGCTTGACCCCCACCCCTCCTCCAGCCCAGGTCAGGGTGTGTGTGGGAGGCAACCAATTGATGTGTCTCTCTCACATCAATGTTTCTCTCTCTGTCTCTCCCCCTCCCTTTCACTCTCTCTCTCTCAAAAAGAAAAATCAATGTAAAAATATTCTCAGGTGAAGATTAATAAAAAAATTTTAATTAAAAAATATATTTATTGAGCACTTATGTTTCAGACATTGGGTGTGTATTGGTGAACCAGATGAAATCCCTGGCGGCAAGGAGTTCACATTCTAATGAGGAAGGCAGACAGTGAATAACTAAATCCATAATGTGAGGCAGTGGTAACTG